CCCTGTTTCAAAGTTTGTCCGTGACACTATGGCGTCTATTTGTCCTCCCTTTGTTTTCCTTTTCTCTCCCCACCAAAGAGTGTAATTTACGAAGGCTAACTCGATCCTTTCATAATTTATCCATTAAGATCATGGCTGAAGGACGTACTGCCAAAGGTATCTGTATCTCCATCGTTGTTGGTAGCCAAATTTTGTTGGCCTCACTAAGCAATCATCAAGTCCGTAACTGCTTGGCTAATCATCCTTATATAGCTAACTAAACCTCCTCCTTGATGCTTAAAGGTTTCTTTTTAAAGCTAGGCAGGTGGGTAAATCTTATATATTCCTATTCTGTTTGCAGCCCAATTATAAATGAGCTTGAATTAATGTGAAACTCTGCAAAAAAATGATCCCCACGGCATTAGAAGCCATATCTGACTTGTGAGGCCAGAAAAAGCATGGCAATCTCTCCAGCTAACACTTTTACTACTTGAACTAAATATTATAAGTTAGCCCAAATGCCAAACCCAAATCTGGATCACACTTGATTCCATACAGTGTGCAATTGCAGTAACAAATCAGGCCTAAATGACCCATAATTTGCATTTACACTCTGCAGTCCACTAAGATTGAATATAACTCTCCATAATTTTCATAAGCTTACACAAAGTGCACTGCAGACTGTATCATATATCAAGCACCGAAAGACGCTCTACAAGGAACACAGCTCTCTGCTGTATGACCATCCTAGGTTTTTCCCTGTTGAGTTTTAGTATGCAATAAAGGCAACATGTATTAGCTTATATGACTCTTTTGTCAGCTTATTCTATATGATGGTTGGTGCAATAAGTTCTTTTATGTGATAAAACATTTAATTGTCATTTCTGCCATTAACTGTTGGAGATCCTGGATTATATTTCTTTATGGTAACTGATTGTGCATGTTAAAGTAATATCATTTTCAATGTCAAATTGTGTTTGTATTAATTTTGATATTGTCTTGAGATGATGTGCATTTCTGTAATATGCTGAAATGGTGGACATCTCAGATAATCATCTTGCTAACTATGATATGCATCTTTCTTGGACTGAACATTTCAATCTATGGTTTGTCTTACAGGTTTAGTGGAAACTGATCCTGAGGAAGCACTTGCTGGTTTTGCTGAAGTAGTGTGCATGGAACCTGAGAAAGCTGAGTGGTAACCATCTGATATTGTTATATATATATATATATATATATATATATATATATATATGACACATTTATCATTGTCATTGGTTTGTTCCATGGGACAGCAACCACTTACCAGGAGATTGTTGTGCTTTGTTTGATAAGATGCATGATATATGTAGAATACATGAGGTACATGACGCTATACAGTAACTTGTAGCTCGGTGTTACATTTCTTTTTAATGTGGTAGATGGTTGGATACACAGATGTTTTGGTTGGCAAATGGCTCAGGGTCACATTTTGTTTTAATATACAAACAAAAGTCTAATCATTAGTGGCTACAAGAAACATGTTTATCTTGAACATAAGGCAGTGTTTTCAAAAGGCGCTTGGGCAAGACTAGGCAAGACCCGAGCGCCTCGCAAAACCTTGGGGCGAGGTGTTTCAATGAATCGCTGCTTGGGCACTCACTTGAGCCCAGGTGTATGGTGCCTCGAGGGGGCACCCCAAGCCAAATCTGATCGGCCACGAGCTTGGGTTTGATTAGACAAGTTGGTTCAACTGAACCAACTACTGTACCCTAACACACCCTGTCCTCCAGGGAAAGAAACCAGAAGCGAATGTGAAACCATACGTCCATCGCCTTCGTACGCTCCGTCCATTGCTAGAAAAAGAGCTCTATTCGCTGTCATCGGCAACCTCGTTCGCCTCCTTCATATGCTCCGTCTGTCGTTGCATTTTTGTCCGTTGTTCTCTCCTTCCCCCACCTTCCTCCACAGTTGCCAGTTATTTCTCTTCTCAGTCCACTCTTTCTCATTTCGATTAACTTGCATCATATTGAAACCACTGTTTAGCATAGGTCTCCATTAGTAGCAACTTGTTTAGCATATTTCTGTTTAGCCACAAATATCACATTGATATGAAATCACTGTATAGAACACTACTTAAAACATAACAGTGGTTAAAAAACATTGCTTAGCAGTTAGCACCCACCTCAAATTTCATCCCTTTTTAAAATACTGCTTAGATATATATTTATCAATAGTAATATATATTTTAAAATTTTTAATATTTGGGAGCTTAGGCGCTCACCTATCACCTCGGGTGTTTTGGGACTTTGATGCCTTTTGGCATTTAGCACTTTTAAAAACAC